ATTACAATAGGTACTTAATTTTGCCAATGAAATAATATTGTTTTAGTTAAAGTTTTATAATATTTACTAGAGCTTCGCTCTAGCTAGGGGCTCCGTCCCCAGGCCCCCGAGTCGGGCAGGTAGGTCACAGATTCCTGGTACTGTACCCGGCTACGCCGGGCACGCTCACGTCCCCTCGCTGCAAAGTATTTTCGGGGAGGTCACAGATTCCGAGGGGGGTGCCCGGCTGCGCCGGCCACTGTAATTCATACCTAGTTATGGACAAATATTTTGCAAGCTAAGTACTGATTAAGTGTAGAGTAAGTCTAGCTATGTATCTGTAATTTTTTTTTAATTTTAAATTAAAAAGAATAGTCTAGAAGTTAGACGGTTAATAAATATCAAGTGTCCGGTGTTGCTTACTTGGGTTGCTACCACTTTTACCAATTTGTATGAACTATCAATGTCCAGTTCCTTATCAGCGGGCGGAATTCGTATTGATAACTGATAAGGACGGCAGGTCTCCGTATGTTTTAGCATTGAGCATACGCTCGCTCGGCACCGTCGCTTCGCTCCACCAACTGTTTTAAGAATTTAAAAAGATAATATAGGGACTTTTGCTGATGCTTTTAAAAAACATACCTATAATTTTTTATTATAAGACTGTGTAAAAATGCATTTATTCGTTGGTTAAATAAGTATTATAAAGCCAGGGAGTAAAAACTAGAATGATTACAATAGCATAAGATGTTGCTATGTATAATGTGATTAAAATAAATTAGATCATGTAATATAGTTATTTTTTATTAGAGCGGAATGAACACATAGATATTTTATGTCAATAATGTATATAAATTTTAAGCACACAAAAGTAGCCCCAGGTGTATAAAACTAAAAATCGATTGTTTTTAGATCTGAACAATTTTTATTCAGTGCATCAAATATACTATTATTATTATTTAAAAAAATATTTTTCATTATATATATATATATTATTATTTTAACAACAATAAACTTTTTTTTAATTAATCCATGTATTATGTTATTTTTAGATAGGTAAATAAATGTTTTTCTACTAAATAATTTACAATAATACTTCCTAAAAAAAAATTATCTGGAAAGTGAAATCAGATACATGATTTAAAAAAATAAAGTTATATGTTTGTCAATTTCAAAGAATTTTCTTAGCTTGAATTGTTGATTTCCACATAGCTTACCTATAATGTCTGAATTTTCCAAAGTTAAAATATTAAAACCACAAATTAAGTCAAAATACAAATTTTAAAAACCCCAAACGGTTAGTGATAGTATTCGATAGTGATCATACATATTTATATAGGTAAATCATCCTACTAAATGAAATAATTAAAATATATTCAAATAATGCCAATTTAACGTGAAATAATATATCATTAAAAAAAAATATATAAAAAAACTAAAATAATTTTTATTCTATGTAGTGATCACAATTGTACAGCTTTAACAAAAAAATTTGAAATAATAAATGTCTTAATTATTTGTACATCAGTATCGTATGTGTGTGCACGTTAAGAAACTAAAGCGTTAAGAGAAGTCGGTTAAGACACTGTATAATGAAAAAAAAACTGTCAATTTAAATTAGGGTTGAGTATAGAGATTAGATAGGCACTAATTATTAAAAAATACTTCATAAATAACAAAAAATCAACTTCTACGGTGTAAGTTCTCTGTTGGCCGGAGGCAAATTAATCGGTGACGGCATAGGATAACAGTCTGTAACCGATGGTAACAATAATAACTACTTATTGTATTAATTAAAGACAGAGTAGATAGAAGTAGCAATCAATCTTCTAAACGGACACGCGTCGGTTATGATTTCACTATAGTATTGGCCTAAAACAAATAATTTACATATATATAAAATAAGTCAGGTAGTTATTTAATTGAAAATAAATAGTAGATATATATGTCAACAAATTTTTCAACAAAAAATATGAAATGTATCGTTATCACCACGCACAGCGGTTTAAAAAAGATAAGAATTTTGTACATCTAATTAATTTGATAATTTGGTTTAAGCAAAATGTAATATATTACTATACTATATATTATTATATATATTCTAAATCTAAAAAACGTACCGACATCCAACGACGCATATTAATAGGTAATGTTTGCACACCGGGAAACACGTCGATTTCTCTTGAACGAAAACCGTGAGCGAATTACGGACAAATATGTAATTAATAATAACTATTATACGTTTAATATATAATTTTACGTATGTAATATAACAAACTACAAAGACAAACATTCACCAAAAAAAACAAAACACGCCGTTCGCCGTTTTTAATTTTCATTATTATATATATGATAACGTTTGACACACCGGGAAACACTATTGAATAAAAAACCACGTATGACAATGAACAACAGTGTAATTAATAATAATAATAATAATTTTACGTTTAATTTAATTTAAGGAAAGTACAAACTCGGCAAAAAAAACAACACACGCCGTCACCGTTATTATTTGATACGATAACGTTGTGACATGATAAAAACGCGCGCCAACGCCACACGCTGCCTAAACCGCCTCAGATGCTTGTGTTATGAGCGAGATGTATTATATGAATCCCATAAGAGACGATTAGGCGACTGGCGGGACGTCGGCTATTTGAATTGACATTTTATATATATTAGATTAGATTAGATTACATTAGATTAGATTAGATTAGATTAGATTAGATTAAATGATCAAAAATATTTTTAAAACATTCTTAAATATTTCTAAGTTCAAATTAGTATTATGAAGGGTGGTCTAAGAGGATAGTTTTTAAACGTCAAAAAGTAATTCTATGATCACTTTTGAATTTCTCAGAATCTCCTATATTTTCTTTAGTTCACACACATATTTACAAGAGTAAACTGAATTAAAAGTTAAACCACAAAAGAAATTATTTTTCACCAGGGGACGTGCCTCCTCTAAACACCTTGTTTTTATTATTATAACCGTTTTTTATTATGTAAATGGGCTCGCAAACTGCCAACTGTTGTAAAATATAGTAATAGTTTATAGTAGAAATATAATAGTATGTTTTAGCCTAATTTAATATAATTTTGGGGGGAGGGGTCCTGGACATTTTCAAAACATCCAAAAATGTAAGATAGATCAGTCCAATCACTTTTTAAATTTGAATTTTTTATAAGTTGTTTAAATGATCATGGCTAATTGTTGTTTTTACTAATTCGACCTTGCAGAGTTTTAGGTATAGCATCCTCCGTAATTGGTTCTAGCCTTAACAACTAGTCCTTCGCCCATCCATTACAAAGTTCTAGCTACGTTATTGACTTCCGACATGGAATGGACACTAATTTGTTGGAATTATGTGGATGGGATATAATGACATTATACAATATGTTATGTACGAACATTGTGATCAGATACTACTGATGCGTGATTTCTTGAAATCGTTTAAATTCGGCCTCAACCATGACATTGTCCAGCTTAAAATGATGTACAAATATATATATATATATATAATTCTTATGATTGCACATATACGATCAGGATAGAAATAGTTGTATCTAAAATGTAAATTACAAATTGTAATCGTATAATTACATAATACATGGTTATTCTATTATGTATGAAAGACTGGTTGGTATTTTTTTTTTTAATAAACCTCGTACGTATCACACATTATCAGATTGAAAGCTAATTTTAAGGAAAAGAGTTATTATAATTTATAAAATTAAAAATAAAGCAGCTTTGATTTTTTTTGTCTCTTTTGTATATAACATTTAAATTACGCGCAATACTTTCAGTGTAACATTTATCATAATATTGACAGGAAGTTTAAAGGCGACAGTAAAACATGAAATCCTCTTTCATTAAAACACTTTTTTTTATTTTGAATCTAATTTTATTGATGTATACGGCTTACGGACAAGTTATATTAAATCGTCCTATACTACCCGTGGTGAGCTCTTATTATAATTATTTTTTAATAGTATAAAATATATCCCTTTATTGATTTTAAAGAATTGTGCATTGCGGTCTCTTCTTTTTTGCCCCACCCATACAAAATGGTCTTCTTTATTCACTTCACACAACGCTGCAAATAATATTTAATTTTTGGCATCTACAGTTTACATACTCGTACTTTGGTTTATCCCCAACTCAAAATTCTTTTACATTAACTTTATTACTGGTTTTACTATTTCACTTTCGTCCTTCTTTCACATTGCCAAATCATCTAAATCTGTTCTCTATCATTTTTCCTACTATCGACGCAACGCCCAAAAAACTTCATGTGTATACTTTTTCCTAAGTTCCAAAGTGAACAACTTAAGCTACTATTTTAGATCCATTGTTTCTAAAAGTAGAGGGCTGATTTTTTATGAATCTATGAAACTGTTTAATTACTCTGGCTGTTATTTTACCCTAATTCTTGTAGTTCTTTAAAGCCACACACTCGTAACACTAGTTTTTGCTTACTCATATTATATATCCTCTATTAGTTTTATATACATCCTTGAGAAAAATTTGCTTCTCATTCTTCAGAACTACCCGCGTTTTATTTCTTGGGATTTGGTGACATATGTTTTCCAAGTCTATAAAAAATTATCCTTATAAAAATGTCTTTAAAAATTGTCCTTAAATGGCATTAAAACATTCTAAAATGTTCTTTTTTTTGCATTAATTGATATTGTTTAAAATATATTACACAATTATAACTTATAAAGACAGAGTTAATGATTCATAATCGTACATTTTTTATACAACATTGATTCATCACATTTTAGGGCGAATACCGGTTAAAGTTTAAAGCTGTATTTATCTGTAATGATACTGCGGAATATTTGGTAAGTTTTAATTGGCATTTACATAAAACATCCCCAACTCGAACAGAAATAAGAGGCAAATGTTCACTAAAGGTACACTTTGATGATTCCTATACTGTAAGTTTAAAATCGTTAAACGAATTTTCGTTATTACAATTATGTTTTACGACATTTTATGGCAGATTCAAGTGAATATGGCAATATGGGGTAAAATTGGAGGATGGAAAGATAATGCATACGTTTATAGTTCGAAAAATGGTTGTTCTACATTAAAGTTTTTTATGGGTCATTCATGGGCTGCATACATGACAAATTTAAATCTAAGTGCTACGCAACAGTGTCCAGTCAGCAAGGTACGCACCGATATAAACAATTCTTGATAAACTATGAATAATTCGAACACTCTGTTGATTAATCAGGGCTTAAAGTGGGAAAAAATTACAGGGGGGACTAATGTCTCCATATAGTTTTAAGCGTTCCATATATAATTTTATGTATAACGCATATAGTATATGTAATATAGAAACAGTGATTGTGTAACATACTCATCCCACTTTTATCCCTGAATAATGTTCAAATTTGTAATTTATTTCATAAAAAAATGTAAACTACAAATAATACATTTTTTAAGAATAACTCGTGTTTTATACAAATTTAACATTCTGAAAGAGAATATTTTTTCTTTTAATATTAAGTTGTAAGTAGTGGTTGTCTTTTAAGAAAACTAAAAAAATTACCCAGACAAAAAATATATACATCATACAAATGTAGTGTTTTTAGTCCTTTAAATTGTACAAGAAAAAATTCAAATTCTACGAATGGTGGGGTGAGTATGCTTAAAAAAATCACACATTCACACTTTACCTATATATATATATATATATATATATATGTTATCACTTATGGGTTAATTGAATACCTATTTATCACAGTACAGCCACTTACAATAACTAATAAAATCAATTATTTTTACACATGTATTAGATAGTCCATTATTTGTATTAAATACATTTGATAAAAGTAAAGTAACAATTGATAAAAAAATAAAAACCAAGATTTAATTTCAACGGAATTCTGAATTATATTGACTAATGTTTGGTTATAATTGGAGCGGTACGGTGTACCTTACGAATAATTTGTTAAAGGGGACGCTTTTTAACCAACATTAGAGGTAGAGGGACTGAGTCCCCCTGCGTCCCCCCCACTTTAACCCCTGTGATTAATTCCAGCTAGAGTGTTGCTGTGTGAAGTTGCTGTCAAATTTTCAGCTATGTCGATAGTCCACATTTTAAATTCCAAACCCTTTTATTAAAATTAGATATAATTTTTCATAAACAATTCAATCTAGAGTAGTACAAAATAAATCGATTATTTAACATAAAAACGAGTGGTTGGGAAGTTAAAATATTTTGGGATTAAAAAAACCAACTATATTTGTTGCACTGCAGTGATTAATTTTATGAGGCGACGCAAAATCTGAAAACGGAACTGATTTTTTCAGTATCTCTTCTAGAGGTTGACTTTCCCACTTTTTTTGCTTTTAGTTAATTAAAGTTTAATTAATTATTAAATAATTATATATCGTATGCATAATGATATTCTAACTAAATGCCAGCCAGATTTAAGTCCAGAACTTGGAAAATTATGAAAATCACCTCCTAGAAGAGATGTCGAGGAATTTAAATTCATTTACAGAAATCTTATCGCATCATTACATCGATCAACAAGTTAACAAACATAATAAGGTTAAAACATAATATATTTATTAGTTTAATTTGTACATTTTACAGGGTGAATACGTGATGAAAGGGTTTGATGTTAATGAGCTACAAAATACGAATCTTCCCAAACAGTTTTTTTATGGCTCATACAAATTTCGATTGTACTACACAGATTATACAGGAAAGATTATCGGTTGCTTAATTGTCATTGTTGATGTTGTTAGACCATGGGAACATGACGTTAAATAACGCTAAACAAACAGTTTCATACACTATATGCTTATAATGCACACAATTTGACTATTTGAATAAAATACTTTATTGAGATAAAATTGTATTTTTTATTATTAATAGGGTGGGTACAATGAGGGTTGGATCATCTGTCCTTCCAAATAATTTATTTCCGTCGTCATCTATACCAACAGCTTAATGAAAATATGTTTTTATAGTAAATAAATATTTACAAGGTTATGGTTCGCTGCGTATTTGTCAGGAGCTATAGGTGTAATTATAGTTCATAGGGTTGGTTTTTTCTACAAATTATTTCATTGTGTATTTTTCAACGTTTATTTTGAAGAGCAAAACATATGTAACAATGCTATTTAATTTACAAATACCGCAAAAATATTCTACATACATATGCCACTGAACTTAAAATTAATATGAAGTGTAACTATTACGCCTAAAGGCACAAAATCGTCATAGTCGATCATTCTGAATAGTCAGTATCCACATAACCTTTTGGGCTGTGATGGTCGTCTTCAACATCAGGACCGTTATTTTTTTTGAACACTTCAGAACAACCATAGCACAGTCCTACATCTGTCCAGCACTGTTCACAGTGTATGTAAACGCAGCCTTCTGTGTTACAACCAAATTGCTTGCCAGCTTTAGTTTCTGGTTCGCCACATATGAGACATTTTCGGCGGCCACAAGTGCACCACACTAGCCAACCGAATATTTTTGGAAATTTCAGCCTTAGCATTAGACATATGTTGAGGTCTTCCTGTTCAGAATATTTTATTATTGTTGTTGTAAATCTTCATGCAATCTAAATGTATTAAACCGAATAAAAATGATTATTATCACGATTACCTTGAGTTTATTTTCTCTGGCGAGAATTTCGACCTTTTGCTTCATGAACCTAAAAAAGGCTATTCGTTTTCTAAGCGTCTCGTTGTACAAGTATAGAACGCGACGTTTTTCTCTTTTGCGGAAAAAAGTAGCGCAGATGAGGCGTTTTAATCTGTTGGCGTATCCCATAAATAAAACCATGAGGAACACCAAAAAAAACGTGCCGTAAATCTTGTGCAAGTAATAAGTGTCCAGTTTATGTGGGTTCGGCAAGCACACTGTAAATGTGATTATTGTATGTGGTCAAGTGGTGTTACAATGTCGCGTAAATCGGTACATATTGTAAATAATGACAATTCAAAAAGGAAAATTAGTAATTTCTAAGTGATTTTAAGAACAGCGGGTTTGTTCAATATTTTCATAAGTTTCGTCATCAGTATATTACTGATGTTAGGCCGTTATTTTGTTCAGTGGCAACGGTCTAATCCAATTTCATTCCTGCATTAGGAATTCTCATCATTTGACATTCAAAATTTTTTAATTCTATAATTAGTAGTGAGTAGATTAAAATGTTTGTACTTTCGTTACTAAGGTTGACGGTGACGTTTTTCTTGAAATTGAACCTGTCCACGACCGATCTCAGCAAGTTGGCAATCATTCCGGTACCCTTTACTTTTATACTCATGTCGTGATGACCAGTCTGGAAGTAATCGATCTTTGCGTGTCTCCTGATCACGTCAAGTGCCTCGTAGAACACCACATCCAACAGAACAAACGACGAGGCTGCCATTATCTCGAAACCTAACTTTACCAACGAATTAAACTGAAAATAAGGAAATTAACAATGTATTTTTAATAACTACAATGCGTTTGTTTTAAATTTTTCAATGATTAATATTTCAATTCAGAATTTATTCGATTAGGTACTTGTGTACACTTTTTGGGTTTTGCATACTCTAAGGTGTAATAATGCATACTATAGGTGATAGGAGGGGTTGGACTTAGGGTAGTTTAAATTTTTCTAAGCTCCTTCAGGCTTACCAAAATTATCATAAAACCAGTAAGTCATAGTGCCAAGTAACTTTCTTAGTTTTTATAAAAATCCTGCGGAAGCTGAGTAAGGATAGACAACACTATGTCGACGTTCTTCGTATACTTAATCGTACTGCGATATTGAAATATTAATTGTTCTATTAGTTTATAAAATTGGTTTAAGCACGTCAAACGTAGACTGTTATCATACCAAGTACTTGCGTTCGTAGTTGCCAAATTTGTAACTTCTCAAGTCCACCATTTTGTCCTTTTCGGTTTTTTTCAACGGCAACAAGGTGTGTTTTTGGTTCTTCTTACGGCGGTCGTCGATTTTCCGATAATACTGGGTGATGTAAATGTTATCGTGTTCAATTTCTGTCAGGTACCCGTGCATGTAGTCGTGGCTGCTGTGATTTCAACAGGTTCGGTTAAAATATCCGTTTTATATAGGTAAGCTGTTTCACACTGTAGCACTATACAGTTATATTTACTCCAAAATGACTTTGAGAAATGAGAAGGCAAGAAAACGACTCGCAAACACTACCACATACTCGGCCATATCTTTTTTTTCTCGAAACTCTAACATCAGGTCTGTGGTAGCATCGTAAGTGTCCCGGATTTGGTCTGTCTGAAATATAAACGAATTGTTTTCTACACAGAAAGTTGTTAAATAATAAAAACCTGGCTAGTGTTTTTTTTTTATTGGTTAAAATAATAAAAATTAGAAACGAATTACTAGAAATTATGGCAATAAAAAAAAAACAATAACAATACAAGTTCTAACGTTATTTATAAAAAAAAAAAAAAATGATGTACTTAATTAGTAGAGATGAACTTTTTTTGATAAGTTAAATATCACACAAAGAACGGCAGTATATCTGTATATTATATTAGTGCCTTAGAATTCCAAGTATTCCGTAAGAGCGCACTGCATATACCGACTATGGAAAACATATTTACGGTTTGGTAAAAATATTTTTTTATTATAGGGCGCACAATCCTCACTACTTTTTAACCATTTACGTATAGGCCTTTGGAATAAACCGTTTTATTTTGAGTATCACATATGAACATTTTAAAACATTAAAGCAAATTGCACTAACTTCTAATTGTCGTCACTTGCCGGTTTTTGTAAAATTATTATTAATTGTTTCTTTTTTTGTAAAATTCTTACTAAATGTTTTTAAGGAGTACTGTGCAGGCATTTTCTCGATGTTGGCCATTAAAGTGCGTTAACAGTGAAAACAACTGTTTTAATTTGTTTTGGCAAAAAAAAGTTAACTACCATTAAAAAATCGACATTAGCATGATTTTATAGACAAACTTATTTATATATACGATTAGTATAAAAATTCTGCAATCAGTTTTCAACAGTATATGTTTTTTAGTTAATAATGGAAATATAAATTAGCAAAAAAGTTTGATTCAAGGTGGATTTATACATTTTATTGTCGCCTTATAACAGATGTAATTTTTTGATAGCAGCTTTGGAACGCTGTATCTAAAACAAATGTCACAAATCGGCCGAAATGGAATTACTTACAGCATACTAATGCGCATAGAAAGTCGAGGTAACATAAATTATTACCAACCGTTTTGTGTATACTTTTTACTTGTGTAATCGAACTGATGGCAATAATATAGTACCCAACCCACGAAACGGAGTAGACTATTATTTACCAGTGGAAGATTTATTTTGTAATCTGCAAACGTTCTAGAATGTTGTCGGTAATAATCATAAATCACTTTACAGATTGTCTCGTTCTAGCCGGTACGACATGAAACTTATCGTCCACGGATTGAGTCATCGTAATTATTAATTAACAAATTATCATTAAAAATGAATAGACCTTTTTGATATTGTCATCAAAAAAGTACCAACATGTGGTTCTTAAATTTGTATACAAATTTAGTAGTATAATAACTTTACAGTAGTACACTAACCAATATTAGTATCATGGGCACAGATTAAAATTACATATACATTGATAACAGGTTATTTGGTAACCTCATCCATTCTTTGTCAACTGTATTGCCAAAAAAATATAAGGCGTCAACTAGGTATATCTATGTATGTGTATGTTTAACCTGTGGAAATTGACTGACTCAAAAAAGTAGTGCTATTTTTATTTTATTTGAAACTAACTATATGCCATTATAGTAGTTTTGTTTTGTTTTTTATTTCATAGCCACAGTAATTATAACTTTGTGACTATCGAGGTGATTCATCGTGTTGAACTAAAGCGGTTTTTGGTAAGTTGAAACGTTTTATATGTTAAGATGTATTTTATTTTGAGATTTAAAATAAATGTGACATTACGAGAATAGTAATAACAATTAACTAATGTTAGTTAAATTAACATTAGGCATTTTAAGGCATACTATAGTAGAGTCATTAGTAGCCTTACATTTATTGTTGCACCCTATAATTTTTCTTTAAATAATTTTGTTATTAACAATAGAATATAGCTACTATATGTGTAATATTATTTTGGTATATAGACATGTTAAGAACGTTAAACCAATTTTGTTTCTTACCACTATTTTTGGCTTTTGAATTTTGTAGTTGACTTTTACGTGCAAGAATTCTCGTTTAAGCTCATCTTTTGATTTCGTCAAGTATACGTAACCTTTTCCAAAACCGGAGTTAACTGCGGTATTAGGATTGCAAACGTCACTGCCTCCAAATACTAAAAATCCAACATTGAGTAAAAACCAGTAATTTAAATATTCAATCCACGCTCAATTTCAAAGTATAGAAATTATGTTATATTATTTGGCATTTTGCTCTGGGCTCAGCCGTTTAAAAATATTGAAATGAATATCCCTATATTTATTACATATATTAGATAAGTAATTGAAACAAATAGCTAGTTTTTACAGTAAATTCTTTGAATGTGATCAATAAATGTTGAATTTAATGTAATTTTACTCCAAAATCATTAACACTTGTCATGAGATATAGCTCATGATTTTTTTTTATAGCACTACAATTATTAACAATCAAATGGATAGTTTCTTTTGCAATGGCTAAGTGATTTTAGTATACTCACTGATTAAAAGCACCGATTATTATTTAGTTAAAATTAATATTATTGTGTAAATACAAAAATAATGGAGCATATTATTTTTCTCATACGTGTTTAAACGGTAAATTGTATAAAACAAAATATATTGCACTTTCATTACAGAAATGATTGATGGGAATTATTCCAGGAACCCGTGTTCTGGATACTTATAGTAATAAGTATTCAAAAATTGGAATCCGAAAACATATCTTTTTGAATTTTTTACTATTATTTTTATTGAAATATGTGAGAGTTATGATATTTATTAACAACTAATGTAATTTTAATGTTAATTTTTTGTTGGGAAAAAATTACATATTTACGGAAGTGTAATTAAAATACTATCTTTTCTCCGATAATCAAATGAAGGAGATATTATAACGTCTGAAGCAAACGCGTTCGGGTGTTTATTTTTTAAGTGGCACGTCGCAGTTTTATTTCCACTCTGAATTTGTAGAACTCCTTCTCATCGGTTTAATTAAAACTATCCGAGGAAGTTATTGCAACTTGCAAGTAATTTCATTAAAAGTTTTCAATCCCTCCGGTGCCAATGCGCTGTACTTACGGGGTGTCAGGTTGCAAACGAAAGTGACTTGCATTGGCCAGCACAGTGCCCACGATAAGGACCAGTGTACCGATGCTTTACAGTTGTCGAACGCGTGACCGAAAGCCGCTTTGCACTTCTCGTCCGCCCTCGAAATGATGTCTGCAAAGCGTTCACAATTTCATCCGGGTTTGTTGAACTTAGGCATTTTCAAGCACGTTGCTGTCCCTTGACCAGTATAGGTGCACGTGTTTATTGTTAGGGACAGCTGGGTGTACGGTCGGTGTCGGATGACATAAGGTCCGATTTTTCATTGTGTGTATATTATTATCCAAAAGCACTTATACAGATTAATCACGAGGTACGCGCACGTGCTTTTGAACTTAGGTATCCTAATTATTCGAAAAATGACACGCCCCACACGACCTATTTATTAAGGAGTAATAGGAGTATAGGCAATATTCGGCCAAATTTTAATGTAAAGCTTGAACTATAGTGTATACTGTATTAATACAATAATAACGTTTCTTTGTTGGTTATTTTTTTTTGTCAGACCATAGTTATTTTTATAGGATAAATTACAATTGTTTCCCGTCAAAACCGATTTGCGCGGAGGCGCAAGTATGTGAGGCCAGTATTAAAAATCGATTTACCGAATTTCTACAATGTACACAGAAGAGCTTTTATCTATGCCGCAGACATTAAGATTGAATTTTATCGATTTTATGATATATATATATTATATAATATATTATACACACTAATTTTTTTTCAAACAAATGAAACACAAATGAAAACGCTACGGCTCGGCATAGATCAAGTTATCCTCTATACACTGTCCATATTTTATAAGACTACTATAAATCTAGTATCTACCCCCCCCTCCCCGACATGCTTGTACCGCGCAAAACCATTTTCCACAGATAAATTTCGTGTGGGTAGCATGTGTTGTATGTATTTTTAGCGCTACTATGATATTTTTTATATAAGTCGATGTATTACTCGTATTATTGTTGCTAGTATTTACTTGCGCATTTTCGGCGAAGTTTGTCTTTATATTTTTTTTCGACTTCATCCGGTTCCGGTACCTTGTATCTTTTTTTGATGTCTTCGTCCATTTTGGATGGTCCCTAAAACGTACCAGACGATGGTAAAGTTAACAGTTCCGGGTCCACTAAATTTTAATGTGGTTGTCTATGCACTACATTGTGTTAATGCGATTATACTTCTGTACTGAAACTTTAATTAGTCGTGAAATAATCAATGTCCAAAAGCCACTGGACTCATTCGAGTAATTTCGGCTTATATAATAATTGTAAATAAGACATTTCTTTTAGATAATGATTCATGCCAAACCCACTTTTATAAAAAAAAAAAATAGTTTTTCTTATATTAGCGTGACAGCGATTCAAGCAGCATTAATTAAAAATGTGCGCCAATAGTCCACCAGTGTAATTCATCTTAAAGGTTTTTAATTAAAAATCTCTCCTTATACAGCAATATAGCTGTTGTGCCTGTATTCTGACAAATTATCACGTCATAACTCACAAAAAGGTCTCAAAATTGATAAATTTACAGTTTTTTCTATAACATAAAAAAAAAAACTTTTCCACTTGTTCTGGGTAAAGGTTTTTTGACAATTGCCATACCTATGCTACTGTAAACGGTGCAAATGTTTTGGGTAGTTAGAAGAAATATTTGTTTTAAAAATAAAATTTATTTTGAAAAGGTTAACCTGATGATCGTCTAAGTAGTCATTTCTCTCGTGCAATACAATGGCCTCATCGTCCGATTCGAATTCTTGACGAATAGGGTCAATTACGTCGTCCACAGAATTTATGGTTTCTTTCACCTCGCTAGTATCGGCCTGAAATTAGGATAAAGGTGAAACACAATTATAAGTTTAGCAAATAGTTTTTCATTATAATACAGTTTACCAGAGTTCATGGCAGTATTAGGACAAAACAAAATACACTAACCAGTTTATGAGACTTGAAAATTATTAGTACAACATTTTTTAAAAATTTTTACCACACACATCATCGATTTAGATATTGTTTATTTTTTTAGGGCTCGAGCTTTGGCATGCGCTCAAATAAGATGGCGATGGCAAAATGCCATATAATCATTAAAAGCAATAAGCGTTTTAATAAGAATTTATTGAGAGCACATACAACCATATTTATTTAACTTTCATAAAATATGTCGTGGGGCAGCTACGTAATAAATAAAATAACATATTTTACATTTTATTATTAGGTATACGTTTGGTCTTATGTTTTGTTAGACCATAATTAAGAATATTACAATTGGGCGTTGATAATAGCAGAAAATTAACTTTAGTTGGTCAAATACATAATTAGAAATCTACTGTTTAATTTTACCATTTTACACATTAAAATTTGAGTCGAATGAGAATGTGAGATCAATGATCATATTATACGAGTTGCCATGTTATCTCAGATTAATGGTCATCGCCAGTAGATCAAAATAAATGACTCGAGTAACCAGTTTTTTCATGTATTTTTCTTTTCTAATCATAATAAAACTTTGTACTTCTACTTAGGTCGAGTTTGGCTTATATAATCGATTTTTATAAAATGGCAATCTGAGATCTATATTATACTAGTGTATATTATTCATGTAAGATCATTTGTAAGCTCGCATGATTTTTGTTTTGACATATAGTAGTATTAGTGTTGTTGGTAACCAATACAAAATGTGCTGAAATTGCTTGAAAATTGCCGACACCAAATTACACTTTTTTAAAAATTAAAATGAAAATAAACTATTTCTTTTTAATTTCTGTAATTTTGTTTACAAGGTTCAGTTATTAGATAATATTAAATTTGTATATAAACTGAGTTAGAATGTATTTTATCAGTTTTCCATTTGAAATACAGCTTACAACTAATTTGTTTTAGCTCCAATATTTAATTTTGACCATACTTGATTATTATTGTTTAGCCTAAACGGTAATTAAACACATGTACCTGGCTATAGAAGTCCAATTAGCTAATAGTGGAATGAAGACACGTGAAAACATTGCTTATCTTCCTAGTTGGATTAAAAAACTTTAGCACGTCATGTTGACTACTCGAATTCAAAATTATATTGGACTACTTAACTAATTAACTTTTGGTCTTGCGTGAAATTAGCATTGCTGGTCGGTTTGTGTTTATTGTTAAACACTGATATTTATCACATTTTATCGTTCGGATGCCGCCGTTTGGGCGAATTAGCTGAAAACGTCGACGGTGTTTGTGTTGTACCTAACAATGAATATTTTTTTAACAAGACATACACCTACGTTAAAGTTGGTTGAACTCAGAATTTGTATCGACGCAGCTGTATCTCCACTCCGAATTCAAATGGCATGATTTTGCATAGTAAAACAGTTACTTGCAATACGCGCGCACGAGGGGACGTTTGTCGATTTCTCACGGCCAAGTAACGGCTGCACGATACAAGCACTCGTCTGCCATGCTAATCGCAACGACAATGTATAATATAATACTATGTTGTACTTGATAGTTTTTACGATTTTGAATCGTCTCGCGCAGATACGTGCCCTACTAGCCGTCATGGCTTGGGTTATATACCACTTGAAACGATTTTTCCATACCGCAAATGGTGGTGTTATTTATTTATCGACGCTCGACGTCCAACCATTAGGTCAGATATACATAGGTTCTGATTGTCTATAACAGATAAATAGAAATATTTTCCTACAACCAGAGTTGGGCACAAATCATTGAAATGAAAGTCAAGAAGAACAACTCGTTAGGTCGTTTCACCGAATAAAAAATGTATTTTTATTCGAGAATAATTAATTTTTTTCCAAATCAAATAAGTTAAAGAGATCGCGGCGAAGGAATTTAGAGATAGAGGTAGGCTGGTGAAGAAGTGGATGGATGTGATAGATTACACAATGAAGATGTACTTGTGTAATACATTCGGTTACCGTAAATAGACAGGAGCAGAAGATCAAGACCCGAAAGGCAGACCCCACGTTAGCTGGGAAATCCTGTAGAAAAGAATAATATGTTTAATGACATAAAATATGTCAAATATTATTTATTGCTATCACAAGACCATTCGAAACGAAAAAAAATATATTTTTGCTTATATAGGCAGTAAGCCCAGATAAATCTATACTCATTATCACATAAAAAAAACGTTGAATAACTTTTCAAATGTGTAGTAAGCCCGGAAAGGGATTTACATACAATAAGTAAGTGAGGATAAACTATAGACTTTAAAATAAAAAAACACTTTTAGAAATATAACTTTAACTGTTTTAAGAAGCACTTGAAAAATAGTAATAAGATACGTATTAACTGACTGGCTGAAGACTGACAATTGTACAGAGAAATAGATAAGTTTATATAGTAATATGTAAATTAGTAGATTGTAACAAACAACATAAAATAGGTTTAGAACGAGGATAACTAGTATTAAGAACGTATTACAAAGTAGTTTACTACGCAGTTTGCAAATAGTCAGTCAAGGAAATAATAGGAAAAAATACGGAACCTGAAAGTGTATGTCGTAATGACATGCATAATAAATATATATTAATATTATAAGTAAGCGCGTGCTTACTACAAATGCGAATTTGGTGGGGTTTGTCCGTAAACGAGAAACTGATGAAAGGTGAACGCTATCGATTTTTGTAAATGTAGTTAAATAATAATTTAAGAGAGAAATTGTAATAAAATGGAAATCGTTGGAGGGAAAAGAGCGTACTTAAGATTGCTTTTAATCAAGAAAGACTACCTATACTTATACAAGGGTTTTGTATAAAAAGGCGTCGCCTCTCCATCTGTAAACGACACTGGGTCATCACCGATATTTAATAACGGTAGTAACTTTACAGTTTTAAACGTCGAGGAATTTTTAATAAAATTTGCTTGCAAGTAAAATGCAAAAAATTCTCGCTGTCAACAGTCGTTGACAAACACGAGTTTGCTCACTGAATTTTTGAAAATGCAACTATAATTGGTATTGACAGGAACAACGCGTTAGAAATTATATCAGAGACTAGTAAAAATACTCGAGCTGTTGTCAAAGAAGAATATTGTCACGCATTCTTATCGGAAATCCCTGTTGTGTATTCTGGGAAAATTTAAATTTCGTTTCCCTTGAAACGCAAAGGATATTCTTGTCGCAATGACAATTATACGGATTGTCTAAAAAGTTTCTAGACTGATATGGCGAGAAAATTTTTTTTTATGAACAACCGAGAAAAAGTGTTTATAATTTTTGTTCTCAACTTTACAAAAAAACATTTAAACATATAACAAGTTAGTGCAAAGATGTAATTCATAAAATACAGAATGCGAGTTGAGACAAAGGTTTAGTTAGAAAACACATTAAAACTTAATTTTTTCCGTAACTGGATATTGATTATAAATTCTAGAAAAAATCCTATTAGACTTAATGCATAATTGTATGGTAAACCTATTTTCACATTTTCAGCTATGGCTGAAATGCTTTGAAATATTGTCAAAAATATAAATCTTAGAATACTATCATTAACTATGAATGGTGTGCAACGTGAAACAATTGATTTTTTATTCATGTTGCTCTTTGAAAGATGCATTTAATCATATGGCCGCTTCAGAAAATTTCGAATAAACTCATTTAAAAGGGAAGAGCAAAATATACAAGGAATGCCAAAATAAGCACAACAGACCTAAACAGAGAAAATGAGAAAACAAAAAAAATCTAATGATAAATAAGTATTAGGGTTATAAGGGTTTTGTTTGTTTTCCTATTCGTATGACATTCCACATATCTATAAATCATATATAATTATTATTTAACAATGTTTGCATCTTGATTTGTATGAAGTATCATTTCCTGATTTTCATGTACTATGCACACGCATGTTTATTATTAGTTATCATATTATCTTCATGTTATTAATTATTATGCTTAATAAAATATTGCGCGTGTTAAAGCAGAATGACTGAAAGGGTGCGCTTAAATAAAAAAAGGCGTCTCTATTTACCAACCGGATAACATAGTAATGCTCGGGAGGGGGGCCTCGGAAAGGGTAATAAAGAAAGGCATAACGAAATCGACATTCTTTTTTCGCATATTAATTCTCCTTAACTTAAACATAGGGCTTGCCAGATGGCTCCGGCTATTGCATTGTCCATATCTAACTCTCTTCTCTTATAAACTTAAAATTCAACTTACATGTTTGACTCGCGCCATGGTCCTTCTGGGGTTAGTAAGATCTTTTGTGACAAAGTGTTTCTTTCTTTCATAGTTTAAACATTAACTATTTTCCTTCGTAGTATAATTGTTACCAATTATTGTGTACGGACTCTTGCTTATGCCGCTCTTATACTTATAGCGAGCACTGCAGGGTCTATGGGATTTTGCCTATGCTACTTTATAGCAAACACAGTGAGAATGCTACGTGCCTAAACTGTTCCCATAGCAAACACATCCTTGTAAGCCGGATTATAATATTAAGGTGCACGCGTATAAGTAGTAATTGTATTGGTTAATGATAAATAATAAAACCTTAAGCCCACAGAACTTCAAGAAAGACTGCGACAAAGTAAGTGGAAAAATTAACAATAATAATATACAAGGAATCACATCTCACACCCCTCGTTATAGTTCCCCCAGTTTATATTATCCCTTTTTGCTTATTATTTCTACTACATCAATGACACTAAAAGGTATTATACTTTTTGTATGTTTCGTGTGTATTTTTAGTTGAACAAATTGATAAGCACATCATGCGTTTTAGACTTAACACCGAAGTTTTTGCCACAGTTGTATATTGTTAAAAGTGCGCAAATAAAACATATTCATTCATCTAACAACATCTTGAACATTATTGATTGACGAGCAAGCGCCGCTGTCGTTTTCGTGGTGTATGTAATGCGACTTGGCACGTCCGCCGTGACAAGGGTAGTAAATGGTTTTATTTTTCAAAAAACCATTTCCTATATTTTTTAATGCTACTTTTTAAGGATTTTTTTCGGCAGGAAAGTAAAAATGGTTCGCTAATATATTTGTCATACAATAGTTGTAACGTAGTTAGAAGCTATTACCCCTTCAGCATAAAAAAGTCCGTTTAACAAAATATATTTATATTTCACATTGTGTTCACATTTTAAGAAAACAAATCGTCTTGAATGAATACTTCTAAAATAATTGTAAACCATAAAACATAATGTTTTTGCTTTACTATTTCATATAAAAATGGGTTGTACTAACTGAAATAAAAAAAACCTGATCTAAAAGACATCTCTTGGCTTTCAAAACAACCCGAAAAAAATACTCATGACCATTAACTAACTTCAAGCCAAAAACTATTTTTTTGGGATGATTTGTATGTGGTTTTGATTGGAAAAACATATTCTACGTTAAAATAACATTTATTTTATTGTGCGCTCTCATCGAATATTTATAGTAAAATAACAACACTATAAAACTTTTTGTAAAATGTTATAAAACTTCGAATATTTAATACATTTTTCATTGACCGTAAGTTGAAAAAAAAAAAATTATTTATATAAAAATTAAAAATTATGTTTGTACATAGTTAACAAATTTGAAAGGGTACAGAGCTTCAAGTACCTTGGTGCAGAGATTAATGAAAATGCTATAATAGCCACGAAGAAGTGAAAAAACGACTGATGGCAGCAAATCGATGCTACTATAGTCTAATGCCATTATTCAAATCAAGATTACTATCTATAAAGTCTATAATTACGTTATACAAAGTCATAGTTAAACCAATTGCTCTATATGCATGTAGTACATGGGCCACGACAAAATCAGATGAAAAAAGTTAGAAGTGTTTGAAAGAAAGATATTAAGGAACATCTTCGGTCCAAAAAGAAATAACGATGGAAAGTATGAAATAAGAGACAACGAAGAATTAGTTAATCTTTATAAAGAACCTACCATTATTGGGACCCTAAAAAGTACGAGGATAAACTAGGTAGGACACGTTTGGAGGTCCGAAGGAATAATTGGTTTAATAACTAAATGGAAACCCAACACTAAGAGACCTAGAGGACGGCTTAAATAGAGCTGGGTGGATAGAATACAGGAAGACTTAAAACTACTGAATGTAAGGACCGTAGAAGAATGTGCAAGAGATAGAGAGGGGTGAAGACAACATGTTGTTGCGGCGATGGGCCTTAAAGGCCTGTAAAAGCCTAGAAGAAGAAGTACATAGTTAACAGATTTTGATCATAATTATAAATCACATCCTGTTAAAATTAAAAAAAATAATAACATCTTAACTCCCAAGCCTTAGGTATAATAACAATCTAAACGATATATTCTGTTTTAATATTGAAAGTCAAAAACTCTAACTTGTACTGCCAGAGACTATATGCACAATTTTTTTTTTAGTACAAGGTTTGGTTGATGTAGCGTTATAAAGTATTTAACGGTGTTCCGGTAAAATTGTAAAATATGTAGTTATAAATACAGCTCGCTTTGCTTTTCATATGATATATACAGTGTGTGACGTTGACAATTTTATATAGAGGTTTTATGAAAAAAAACAACACAGCGTTGAATAATAATTATTACATAATATTATGTATTATGTATACCCTTGCCCATCGCTATGATCTAATACTTACTCTGAGATGAAACAACGCCTCTTGGAATGGTTTGAACATGAGTTCGTATCTGGTCTTGGTCAAGTTATACGCTAACGCCCCAGAACAGGTAAACACCCTTATGACTTCGGTCCCGTTAAGTGTGATGTTGTTTATCGGACCGCCGATAACATACGCGAACACCAAAGCTACCAACACTCGTTGACCGGACTTGTCACAAAACGTAGGCATCGACAACAGACCCAAACATCTGATCTGCGCATTGAAGACGTTTAAATGTCGTTTGAGTTTTTTGTGTTAAAAAAAGTATACGGATTTTATGTTTTAGAAGGAAAATTAAAAAAAAAAATGTTATAGTTTCTCACAGTAAACGTACTAAAAATAGATAAGCAGATCAATTGGGACGTATATAGTTAAAAAGTACTATTATCGAGGTAAATAGTAAATTATTGTTTTCGGAATAATTTTGTTTTGAAAACATGCGACAAACATTTTCAACAATCGTTGGATTGATCCTAACAATGTTTCTCGCGAGCCATGACTGAACTAATACTTTTTGAAAGCCCATGTTTAAAAGGAGATTGAAAAATAGTAAGAACCGACGAATTCCAAGATAATATATTGTGTATGAGCCGAGCCCAACACTATTTATACACATCACGTCCGTCAAGTCGGTACGTGATTGTTGGAATTTTCACTTCAATTTCACGCCGTCTTTTATTCCAGATTAATTTTGAAAACGGCAAAAAAGTACTTGCGATGCCGCTGAAAATATATACGTTTCTGTTAACGGATTACCTATACTTATACGTGGTTCACTTAGACTGATCAATTTGTGTTGTGCCTATATAGGGGTGCCGTTTAAACCCGCTTTATGTGACCAAGTTCATATTATTATTTGTCTCATTTAAAGTTGAACTATATTATCAAATTAACGTTGAATGGTAAAGTCCACAGAACGTCTATCACAGGTCATTGTAAAGCTTTTACAATAATTCAAAAATTGTTATGCATTTTTGCAAAAAAAATTCAACTCGTGCGAGATGAATGAATAGATAGAAAATAAATTACATTTATTTACATGAAAATAAAAAACCGGTCAAGTAGAAAGTGATAACAAACATACATACGTACATGTATTACACCTAAATATATTACTCTTCTCTATTCGCAGTCGGGTACCTAAAAAGGAAAAAAAAACTGGGTCAGTTTTCAGAGCGGACCCTAGTTTTTCGTTCAATCGGATCCATCTATAGTATTTCCATAGCAATAACTTAAGTCAGTCGAAGGACAACATCAGTAGGAGAGCTCCGAACGGGGGTGCGTTTGCTAAATTACACGAATCATATATATATATATATTTTATACCGAAGGTTATTTCGAGTTTTTCTTCAAGCAGAAGAAACGCTAGACAACGTTCACTTAATGTTTTATTTTGGAACTGAAATTAACCAACAATAATCGTAGGGCCCTTATCAGTAGAGTCATGGCATCAAGATTGGAATGATTTTCTTTTCTTACAGAAAATAAAATGTTATGTCTCTCGCGTTACTTTTTGTAATTTATTTACATCATAATCAAAAAGTAAATTTGTTTAGGTAACTTTATTTTCGTTTTCAAAGACGCTCTCAAAAATAAATACATTTAACAAAATGCCATAGAAAAACACTTAACGACAGTGTAAAAAAAAAAATAATTTCTCTTACGTTCTCTGGAGAATTGTTTTGCGTTTAAATGGGCCGACTTACAGAGCTATTATGAAAAGTTTGAAATTACTTGTCGTGAAACGACATGGCCGACGCTTAAAAACACACCGATAGTAATTCCCATCAGGATTGTAGATTGATTGCTAAACTGTAAGTCTACTAAAATGAAGTGGTAAAAAACTGAAAATAAAAAATAACACCATTAACTGTTATGTCTTTACAGCCTGGTTAAATCCCACACAGCACCAAAAAAAAAAAAAAAATCTATACTTATAACGTATAGTAAAAATGTCATTTAAGTACTTGGTTTAAAACACATTTTGCTAAACTAAACTGTGTATGACCAAAACATATTTTTAAAAATGTTCAATGTATTTTTGAAATATGTATTTTGCCATGTTTGGAAAGAATGCATTTCTTTTTTTTATTAATTTGTTAAAAAATGCATTCAAGGATGTGAAATTCGTTTTTAAAACAAATATTTTAATATATTAGTATTAATTTAAATTTCTTTTATCATTTCAAAATTTTATTAGTATGCAACCATAGTGGAACCAACCATTTGAAAATTGAAATGATAATTTTAAAAGAAATGTTCCAAAAATTAATTTTATACTGTGCTGTTTGGGATTGAAAATGTCGCACATCAAGACGCAAGCTCGTTCTTACTTAAACTAAGAAAAACGCCGTAGATGAACTTCAAAATGATTTTGGTGTATTTGAATTTACTGCTTTTGCGGTTATCTATAAAACATCATGGTTAAAAAACTTAATTTTAATTATCATTGCAAATACTTAAAATTGTTGTTTGTTTGAACTTAAAACTTAAATTAAGTATATTATTATTCTATAGGAATCTACTAAAAAGCGGTCGTTAAAAAACTTTTTAAGGATTAATGAAGTTTGTGTTCCGAAAACTTCATTGACGCGCTGAGAAATTATATTAGTTTGTTTAAAAATGTCTCTAAATGAGAAATTTATGTGGACGATTACATTTTACTACTAGTTATTTCATAGGACATTGCGCGCTTCTAAAATTTACCATTTCCTCGACTTATTTGAAAAACAGCACTTCTACTGTTTTTTTTTAATATATTATGTATTAGTACTTAACCTTTAACTTTTTACATGCATTTTGCAAGAAGATGTTACATTAGATAATTATTATTTATTCACTTTATAATAGTTTTTTATTTGTTTTTTACTATTAGTTATATGAAATGCGATTTTTTTTTTTTTGGTATTTAGTTCTTATTAGTATTTAGATATATAACTGATTCTATAACCGTGAAAAAAGTAAATAATATTCTAAATTCTCACATGTTTCACACTGTATTACAAAATTAAAATTTTGTAGTTTTTCATTTCGCAGACATTTTAGTTGATTTGCTAATCATAAAAATGTATACTAAAGCAGCATAATTAAATTAGAAAATTTTAGTTACTAAAGTTGTAAAGCTAACTTTTAATAGCTTTTAGCTCATTGCGGCAACAACAGTGGTTCTAAAAACTTTTTATATTTTATAATAACTAACAGCAAATAAATTTGAATGACAGCAACGAGCTGTTTAAGTTGAACACCTACACTGCATATTATACATGATTTATATTTAAATACACATTTTGTGTAAACTAAGAACAGAACAGTTGCTTAAGTAATCCGTTTGAATTAAGCACGCGCGTGCATTATGTAAACAAAATGACTATATATGTGCTGAACTTGAAGTAAATGTTCTGTAAAATTTTTAATTCTTTTCAACGGATAAAAATGACTACAAAATACCACGCGAGGAAATTTCCTCGGATTTTGTATGTATTACTGTTCGATAATGTCAAGGATTTATATTATGTATAATTTAATCTATACATACATAGATATTGCTTTTAAATACTCGACAATAACGCCACGAGCTGTACAATGTTCATTACAAAGCTGTGAATATCCTTTGAAATCTTATTACTGTTTAATCACATTTTATTGTCGCTCAAAAGAAATGTAGATGTACATAACTTAAGAGTTAAGCCATAAGATATTATTGTCTTATTTTCATAAATGTTTGTATTTATTTGATTTAGCGGTTAAAAAGAAATTTTAATTTCGGTGTAAATGTTTTTGTTTTTTTGGAAATTTTTTACTGTAAATCTTATAAATATATTTTGTGTAAATTCAATGTTCACACGTGTCGAAATTATTTTAAACGTGATACTTTATTTGTTATTGTAACACGAGCCTTGAATGTTTGTAAATAATAAATCAGACTCATTTTTTATGTATTTACTCGAAAATGGCATTCAGACGTTGTTTGAGATAAATCATTTTTTGAGCAACGACGATTTGAAAATAAATTCTATTAAACAAAACCGGCGACGTAGTCATATATTTAGTACATTTAGGGAGACAAATATACATATAAAATAATGTTATTTATTTTCGTAATTACTTTATTTGTATTCTTATAGGGTTCCTATACAATGCAATCACTATATTTTATTTTAAAAGGAATTAACATAAAATTGTTTTATTAAGAACTAAAATCCATAACAAACGCATTTTATAAGAATAAAACAATATAATGAGTAAATCGTATTCAATTATTATAATTGTATAATATTATATAACGTGTAGCTTTACAGTAAACAATACCATTTGGTTGATTATAAATTGTACATTTAGATAGCATAATATATTACATAGTATCTGGTTAATTTCAACATATTTTCTTTGTGACAAAAAGTTGGGAGCCATCTTTTAAAAATATACATCTTTAGATTTATTTGTTTATAACAAAAAAAGTAGAATACAAAAAAAGATGGTAAAAATGTAATTTATTTATTAACACTTTATAATAGTTATAAAGAATTTTAGTAACGTCAAAAAAAATAATATTTTCATAGAAATTAAGGATTTTTTAAGATTTCAAATGTATGTGTAATAATTGTTTAATGTGATTCAGTTTTAAAATGTTATTGAATTTTGTTGCTTAAATGTTATTCATATAAAATTATTTTTATTTCTGAAAACAAAATTTCATTACTAATTGTTTGTTTAAATATTTATCTGTACTTTAGTTTAGAATTGCTTTTACTCATAAAAAATGTTGCATGAATTAAAAATAACACCCTGAAACTAATACAAATTAATCTAAAAATAAGTTGACAGGGTAGTAATGTATTAAAATCACTATTTTTATTATATAAATACTGCATAAATAAAACTACTTAAAAGCCGGCCGCTTTCAATTCTTCTAGATTACTAGTTTTAGGTTTATTAATTATAAATAACATTAAAACAAAAATTAATTGACAATCCAATTTAAATGGTTTTCTATTTTAAAAGTACTCACTTAAACGTTTCTGAATAAACTAATTGGAAATGTCTTTAAAGCGCCGGTTGTTTTATTAAGAAATAAAAGTAACGATATTGTATTAAATTTGTGTAAAATTGTTATTTAAATTAAAGTGTCAGGTTAAGAATGTGAAACGCTGAGAGAGCGTGGGTGTTGCAGTTATTTCGTGTTATTATTGGAACGAGTTTTTTTTTTTTACTGCTATTACTTTTTTTCAGTAAAGACAGAAACAAGGTGTTAAAGAACTCGGAGCGGAAACGGAAAATTCAATTTAGAACGCCAAATCATTAAAACGACTGGCCGGGTACAATATATAAGGAGTCTAACTCCCGTGTACAGCATTTGTAGAACCTGATTAGTGGTATAACAATAAATTGAAACACAACTCAATTTTTTTCTTGACGGTATAAAATTATCTATAAATCAATATAATACACCAAACTTGATCTAAAATTCTTGTACAAATCTTTGAAAGTTTTTAGCCTGAACTCTTTGTGCAGGACTATTTCTAAGAGCAAGAGACAAACTTCTGTTTTTAATAACTTACAAATCACGAGCGTGCAATCACCTTCGTCCAGCCAGTCACTGAGACAAAGTAGGTGTACCGTTACAAAAGCACGTTCGACGTCATAATATATTTGTTGTCACACGTGTACCTTGTAATCATATAAGATGATCCGCACACAGCACTTTGACTAATACGGTTTATTGGTAAGACAGAGAGCTTATTAGTGTACAACGGTTCATTCAGTTACTATCATCTAAAGCGAGAACAATTATTGTAAGTTGGGTGAAGTGAGGTAGCTGCAATTAAAAACATTTACGACAAGAAGTCGAAATTATTTTATTAAAATTTACTAGTTTTAATTATTAATTGGAAAAACTTAACAGTCGCAACCCCCCATTAAGTTCTATTTACCTCACTTCACTCTACTTTGGTTTAAAAGAGCCTATTTCGCTTTTGGCAAATGAGCTTTGATGTTTTTTTTTTAGAATATTGTAACGTTCCTGCTATATAAAGGGTGTTTTAAATAAACCTGTTTTTTTTGTATTCTTCATAACATAGTAATATTTTATTAGATTAACTAAATTTGTTTTTAATAAACCATAAAAATGATTGCAATTTTAACATTTTGACAATGAAACGTTATTTTATTTTGTTAAAAAAAAAGTGTATACCTTATTGTAAAATTATTTTTCTAAGGAATACAAATGTTGGTTTGGAATTTCTTTTTTTCCCAAAAATTGAATGTCTTGACATTTGTGTACCAATGTAGATTAGATATTAATTTGGTTAAAAAAAAATGACTTTTTTTGAGCTCTATAAACCAAGTTCTACCTTTAAGACGTGTGAAGAGATGCAAGGAGACATTGTCAGTCCATATAGATTAAAGTTGATATTATGTTGTCTTTAAATTAAATTGCTTTTGATTCAAATGTCAATAGCGTCCCATAGTTATCGTGTGGGTAATATATAATTTCCCTAATTTTTTCTATTGTTGCTTTACATTCTAGAGGTTGATTTTTATGTGGCATATCATGTATGAACTTGGAACTTTAGTTCCATCGGTTGTAAAATGACGGTTTTCACAAGGTTAATTTATTTGTGGTGGAGTTACGAGGTCGGAATGAAAATGAAAATAAACGTGAACTGATACGAGCGCTTGATTGTGTCCATTGTATTCGTATAAGTGTGTACATACTTGGTATACAAAAAAAAAAAAAAAAATGTATGAAAAAAAAACTTATTCTAGTGGAAGGAAGTGCACTTGGTGGTTTTTATCTACCGCGCGTACGTCACAGCCAGCAGATATTATAATAGTATTATAGACATAATATATTTTACCGTGACTTTATATTATACCTAACATAATAATATACGATTTATGCGATACACTTATTTTGTTTGTGAACTTGCCAAGTACGTGGTGGACGAGATCTTTGACGAACGTCCGCCGTCGACCGGACTTGTGCGACGTATTCAATTTGGCGTACTTCATTTCAAAGTCTTAAAAGATTTGGTTGACCAAACGATAATAGTCGTAAATGTTTACTAGTCCTACGTACATTTGTGTTGGGACAATAATTATTGTGTTCAACGGTATCGTAGCAACTGTGCCGCAGCGCCCGGGCGACATTTTCGAGCTTATCGGCGCGGCCACACTGGATCATCGTTCTCGGCGCACCGAAGACCCATAAGCACACGGCGTTCCCACAGCAACCGACGGCAGAACGCTACTTAAACTTCAACCGGACGGTGTGCTGACGGCCAGACAATAATATTATCATCACAACACCGCACACATCCATAGCGCATTTCCGATCCACAGGTAAGACTATACTAGACACGATCAGCTGTTATTAACAATATTATAAGTCCCACTCGATGTTTGTGTAGAATGTAAAAAATAACGAGGTAGACGACAGTATAACGACAGTTTTTTTCTCTATTTATTTCTAGACATATATGTACAACGTAAGAATGAGTTTAAACGTTTCGATTGTAGCTTGTCGGTTGCGTTTATTTGCCGAGTACATATAATAATAATATTGTCAGGGCCCCTAACTCTATCGACGGTCGCTTCAGCGCAGCCTACCAAATCAACTAGACGAGCTGACTATAACCGTCGAGTATAGTAGCTGGCCAATATATTATACTAAATGCTATAATGCTGTAATATACATATTTTATGGCTACATAAAATATGTTCTTCGCAAATGATGCAATTATTGACATAACATAACTATTTGGTATGCCCACACAGAAAAAATATAATATTTTTAGTAATTTAATAATCTGTTAATCTAACCAAATCTGCGCTAAACCGATTTCAATAATGGGCATTGGACGTATTCAATCTACTAGTACTCATATACATGATTTGATGAGTACAAAATAGGTTTTGGGGAAATATTATTTAAATTAAAATATAATAATTACAATATACATATATATATAACTACAAAAACAAATGTAAAAACAATGTAATAGTTATTTATTATATTATGTATAATGGATATAGGTACATTGTATCTATATTATACAATACATATTGTTTAATAACGCTGTACACATACGTTTAACTTATATGGAATACATATTCAAGTAATTAAATATCAATTATGATTTTGTATTTGTTTTTTAGGCAAATATTTAAATTCCAATGTTTTTCATTCGTGGTAATCATAACAAGCGTTGTTTGTTTTATTTAAATGTACATCTGTAGTTTTCTTCAAGGATATATTTTCGAAAGTTGTAATTTATATTTTATCTTTTTTTGTGTACATATTGCTGTTTTGAGAAAATATTTTTGTTACCCGAAAAGATTCTTGATATTAACCTTAGATTATCTAAACCAATTATTTTTAAATTGTCTGCGTTCGTTTAATTTTCAATTAACTGAATATAAATAAAAAAAAATAAGATTTTTTTTTTATAAAGGAAATCTTTTATTATATCTGTTTTCATTGTTATATAACTTGTTTGTATCGAATTATTCGCAGTATAGCATTTTTATTGATAATGATTAATTATTTAGTTTTGAATTTTGACTGGTTTGTGTGGAACAATTTTTAAATTTACCTACATTATTTTTAATATTATTCTATATAGACATTATTCTATGCTCTGTCAAACAACACCTAGTTCGTGATTCGTTATTCAAAACGATCCATTAAACCGTAAGAGGTTGTAAGAGTTCTAACTATAGTTAAAAAAATTTATAATGAAAAGGAACTTTCATTTCCAACTTGTTTCCAGTGGCCAATATCAACGTTAATTTGGTATATTTAATGTTATCGTTTGTATGTTTTCCAATTGGATATACGTACAACAGCTGTGTCAGGCATTCAACATTCTAGTGATACGGAGAAGAACTTGGCTACAAATGATTTTCCAGAGTATTGTTTTTCGTTTTCATAATGTCAATTTCTAGAAATGGGCGACGAATTTTCATTTCACGAAAGGGATTCAATTAAAAAAGTCCTTCGTTGATTCCAAATTAGTTTTGAAGAAGGAAGGACGAATAAATTATATTCAGTTGTTGTGTGTAGGCAAAAAGGTGTTTTCTTGGGAAACGTGAAAGGTTCAGGACTGTGTAATTGCTACACGCCGTTTTGGCGGCAGACGATGACGGCTATCCCATGGATAAACACCAAACATTTATCATAAGACTGTCCGGTTGGGTTGGAAATCGTACGGGTTGGCTCGAGATTAAAGTGTCTGGAAAAAAAAATCGTACAACGTCGGACCAAAACTAGAATGCATTGTTTCGTAAAATGGCCTGTCGTTTCGATTGAACAAAAAAAGCCCTTGATGTGTATTATAATGGGATTTTCGTTAAAGGCACAACGCAACGGTCGTTCTCATCCGGGATCAATGCGAGCTATCGGCGGCCGCCAATTAGGGAAATTCCATTTTCTTTTTATAACCGGATCGAATTTCGACGATAGAAATAATTATTTTCGGGTCGCTTGTAAAATAGAACTGGAAAAAAACAAATGCCGTCTCCGTCAGATGTACTATGAAGAATCGTTTAGGTCGCAGTCGATGAACGGTTTGTGGTGGTGACAAATATAAAACGATTGTGCCGTCGCGCCCTTTGAAGTCTCTCTATAGAGACCAGCTTTACCGAATTTTCAATACAGCCCGTCCATCTGTAATGGTCATAGGATTTAAAACACAAAGAGGTTCACAATTAACTCGACTAACGCGATCGCTGTTTAAGAGGATGTATTACGGTCGACCGCTGGCGCAATGGACGCGGTATGGTGTTCGCTGTTTAGAGAGAGTTGGTAATTGTTTTGTTTCACAAAATCCCAGAGAAACGATACACTCGGTGTGTCGGTGTTATTCACCCCGTTGTGCCCACGTAGATTTCGTTGCAACTTGACATATAGCACCCCTTGAATTGAGTTCACCGGACGTACGTCCATCGGGATTTTATAGAGCTGAAAATAACACTGTGGGGGTTCTTTCTGGCGATATTCAATAAACCGATTGAATTTCAAAAGAACACCGACGCCTTTTAATTGACAAATCGATTTGGGCTTTTTTTTTTTTTAATTTTTGCCAACTATTTATCATTATTGTTTTCATTCGCTTTGTCTGGCTCGCAGGAGCATATGTTCGTACTAAAACGATTGCCGGAGGCGTGTAAATATTTGGCCAGACGAAACGCAAAACGGTTTTAGTTGTGACGCCTTGGAAATTAACCGACGGACAGACGGAGGAGAGTAAAATAACATACGACCCTTTGAAGATCAAGAAGAAAAAAAAGTCCCGAACGGATATTATATTTCGCTACGTTGTTATTGTTTGTTCGGTGTGTATCCGAATGCTAAGCGAGCCCAACAGAAAATAACGGGGTCGAAAATTATGTAACCCTTTGGTTTTTCGTCCGCGCGTAGGCGCAAGGGCGTTTCAAATGGATTTAAATACTTGGAAAATGTCACCGTGTGTATGTATTTGTATGATAACATTAAACGGAATAACAATACAATATGGAGTTGACATAAAACAAACTTTGTGTTGCCTTTGTTCGGTGTACCGCGTTTAGTATATTCACTATTATAATATGTGGTTGTATATTGTACTACTTCAATTGTTTTGCAATCTACTGTTGTAATAATGTAATTTATTTGTATATGATAAATTACCACTGGTAAAAGGGGTGAACGTCCGAACAAAATAAGTCTATTCGATAATCGGTGTTTTGAATAAACAATTATTTTTATTAACATGAAACAAATCGAATAATACAGAGAGACTGCACCTAAAAAAGGCATGTCATCAAATAATATATGGTAATTTTTGGGCTACTGTGTTCTTAAGATGTGCAGGTACACGACATAGCATACGTTTAAACAAACATTTACTTGATTGCGTCGAACTCTTGCAACTTTGATGTCCATGAAATAGTTTCTTGGGCGTTGTTGGCAGTAAAAAAGTAAACTGCTGACCCCTAAAAGTTTGTCGCGTGTACACATTTTTCAGTGACAATCACGGCATCCTTGAACGTGCTTGCCAAAATTGTCGATCGGCTGCAGAAGGAAACCCTCGTAAGCACGACAATTTTTATTTTACCGATTCCGTACTGTATTGAGTTGTTGTAAGTAGCCAAATAATAGGTAGCTAGTAGGTACCGTTCAAAGTCTTACATGGATGTGTCGTGTTGAGTAAATTATTTAAGATTATTAAATTGAGAGTACAATTACAGTACCTGCGTTGTTCAAAACTTACACTTACAACTGAGTTTGCCAATTTGAAAAAATTGTTTTTTATACACTTCATGTCATTTTCTATGGGAAATTTTACCCATAATTTTCTCTGAGTAAGTTTCCTAAAAAAAACTTCAGTTTATTATGGTATTATTAAGCAAAAAAAAAAAGGCATTGTTCAGTTATCGGTTAATCGAACAAGGTCGAATTCATCCACGAATGTCAACTTTCAAGGCCATAGTTTTGGACTGGTCTAGTTTGCAAAGAAAAGTCGTATATTATTATAAGAAAATCGTTATTTATTAGGGAAATTATCATCCATGTTTATTCAGTATACTATGTAAAAGGAAATGGTCATAAAAAATATGCACTTTGCATACTTTTCAGTCGGCAAATTTATGGATTTAAATAAAATATTTGTTTTGTTTACTTCTATTGTGAGGTATAGTTGAATTATTAATATTTTTATAATTTATTATAGTAAATAATAAATATTAATTGAGCAGTTTTTTTTTTTTATAAAATTATATCTTAGATGAAGTAAAGAAGTAATAATATAAATTATAAAGACGACTAATGAAAAACAACAAATTAATTTAAAAAAAAAATTGTATCGTTTGTTTAAGATAGTATAATAATTTAATATACTCCCTATTATTGGCTTAAGTCGTTATGGAAGTCAGTAGAAGAGTGTATTTTAGCAACTTGACCTTATTTTCAACAAAAGTATAATTTTATTAATTTTGTCTATAAATAGATTGTTTACGAACCCACTCGATCTGCAAACACGACAAAAATAGAAACTTCATAATATGATATACCATTAAACCACATTAATGTTCACTATTGTTTCATTCGAGAACTTTTGCAATTTTCCCGCCATAACGTCTTAAGTTTCAATTTATAGAGATGGCAATAATATCGTTCATATTGCACCAACCAATTATCATAAACATTTAACATCATATATAATTATTACTTATTTGAGAAACAAAATCCTCAAGTCAAAAATCACAATATATAAATACCAATGATACTTTTATACTATGATTGATTGTATTATACTTACGTCTATAAAGTTTTTGTGTGGGTTTGAGTTTTATGTTTCATT